GCTGTACTTCCTCCTGCAGGACAGGCCAACTGTAGAAGAAAGCCACTCTGTTGCTCCTCATACTTCAGAGGGCTACAGCTGGGTACATCTTCTGCAGCTGCCCCATACCGTGTAGGATTCACTGTCACGTGGGGCAAAACGCTCTGAGCCCAGGTCCAGCAGGTGACTTGATTTTTGAAGATTCTTCTCTACTGAAGATAGTTTAGCGGGCAGATAGTTAAAGTACTGAGCTGGGATGGCAGAGTGCCTGGCTCCCAGGTTTCTCCCCTCCCCTGCAGAACCTCTAAGGGAGAGCTGTACTTGCTTTTCCTACTTTACAAAGCCCTTGGGGGACATGCCTAGGTTTGGAGATTTGCAGTCCTTAGGTGCACAAACTCTACAGTTTGTAGAGTTTCCCCCCTCTTCATTTCTAAAATCTTGCTTCTTTCTTTTTCCCTTTCCTTACACTAACTTCATTTTTATTGTTATTGATTTCACTCTTAATCCTTTTAACTTCATACTTTATGCTACATGGTTTTTATCACGTTCTTTTTTGTGCCTGTTGCAGGTAGAGTAGTTGTTTTCATTTCTATGATTGGTATTTCTACACCTGATTTATTCCCATCATGTCATTTCGTTTGCTTCTATTTAAGCATTATTGAGAATGGAACCCTCAAAGAATGCTTCTCATGGAAAAGTCCCCAAATTAAAACCACAACACACATCCATCCCTATAGACGCATGAATCGAAGGGCAGAAAGGTAAGAACCATGACCAGTCAAGGCAACAACAGGACTTCTCCATGTTTTATTGCTGTTGTTGTTTTGTTTCGGCCACAGGCTCTCATGTAGCCGTGGATGACCCTGAACATCCTTTGTAACTGAGGATAACCTAGAACTTCTGGTCCTCTTGTCTCCACCTCCCAAGTTCTGTGGCTCTAGGCCTCTGCCACCACAATTTGTACACTGCTGGGGATCAAACCCAGGGCTTCATGCATGTTACACAAGTGCTCTAGCAACTCAGCTGCTTTTCCAGATCCCTCCAAAAGTTATTAACCCCTCACTAACCAGAGCCAAAGACAGTGAATGCTTTACATGCCAAACTTTAAAAATGCCAAACATTCAAAAACAATCATTGAGACTACAAAGAGGACTAGAAGAAACAGACAACTTTAATAAGGAAATCCACTCAAGATTTGCACATGAAATTCAACCACTTGGATGAGACCCTTAGTAAGGAGATAGAGACTACACACTTGTAGAAATGAAAAAGCTCTGTGAACCAAATAAAAAAAAATCAATGGAAAGCATGTCCAACTGACTAGACCAGTGGAACAAAGAAGGCCAGGGAGTGAACAGGGAACGCAGCACACCAGCTAGGCATGACCAGAAAGTGACATCTCCAGGTCATAGCATAGTAAAAATGCTGACACAACAAAATGAAGAAAGAGCCCGAGGGAGGTGCTAAGATCCTTTCAAAGCTAAACCATTCAGAACAGAAGACTTTGCTGAGGAAATTGCCAGGAGAGCAGGGACTAACATATATCAGTCTCTGAAACAAAATAATTGCCAAACAAGATTACAACACCCAGTAAGATTGTTTTAAAATGGAGTAAGAAAAAGGACCTTCCATGCCATGCATAAACTACAGCAATTCATGTCCACTAAGCCAGTCATGAAGCAGATACTTAAAGCATTACTCCACACAGAAGAGGAATAAAGATACATACAATCGCCGGGCGGTGGTGGCGCACGCCTTTAATCCCAGCACTCGGGAGGCAGAGCCAGGCGGATCTCTGTGAGTTCGAGGCCAGCCTGGACTACCAAGTGAGTTCCAGGAAAGGCGCAAAGCTACACAGAGAAACCCTGTCTCGAAAAACCAAAACCAAAAAAAAAAAAAAGATACATACAATCATGACAACATTAAAAAAGGAGGAATGGGAAGGAATCAACATATAAACATTCATTTAGTCATTAAACCTCAGGAAAACAGCAAACTGAGTCAGGGATAAATTAACACGTATCTTTAATTCTCCTAAATGTAAGGTGTCCTGACTCTCCAGTTAGAACATGTATACTGGATAAACAGAATACAAAACAAGATTCACATATCTGCTAGCCACATGGAACTCAAGTCACCAGGAAAGACAGAAACAGATGGAAAGTGGAAAGATGCAAGAAGAGAATCTCACCTGGATGGAATCTGAAAACAAGGATGCACAGCTCTACTCAGGTCTGGCAAAGCAGATCTGAAGCTAAAGTTGTTTGGAGGACATGAAAGGAAGTTATTACATATTAATAAAGGGAAGGCCACATCAAGAAGATGCAATGTTTGTAGCCACTCGTGGGGACATGTGCCTATAATCTCAGCGTTTGAGGGTGGAGGCGTTAAAACCAAGAGTTCAAGTCATCCTCAGGTACACAGCGAGTGACAGGCCAACCTAGGAAACTCGAGACCTTATCTCTAGAAACCAAAAGCAAAAAAGATGGCCAATGATCTTACGGTCTTCATGGAGAGGTCAAGGTAATTAAACTGAGTAAATCACAAGACTTGTTCTGTACTCTCTGCATTCAAGTGCAAATCTTCATCTCTCAGATCATCTTCCCAGTGAAAAGATGCTACTCTGACAACATTTTTGAATACATAAACTCCTTTCATATTTTCTAAAAAAAGAACCAAAGATCTTAAAGTAAGACTGGAAACTCTAAAACTACCAGAGAAAAGCAGAAAGAAATGCTTCAGGTTATGGGCGCTGAAAATTATTTTCTGAAAAACACTATAACAGCTCAAGAAATAACAGCCAAGATTGATACATGGGATTGCATCAAGTTAAAAAGCTTTGGCACTGCAGAAAAAAACATTTACCTTAGTGAAAAAATGGCTACAGAATGGGAGATTGATGAGAAAAGTGAGAAAAATGAGAGATTGATATCTAGAGTGTATCAAGAACTCAAAAACAGTTAAACATCAGAAGAACAAACAAGCAAGTCAGTAAGTGGGCAAATGAACTGGACAGTTAGTTCTCAAAAATAAGAAGTACAACTAGCCAATAGATACATGAAAAAAAAGTTCACTAGTACTAGCCATCAGGGAAACATGAGTCAAAATTACATTGAGATTCCATCTCATCTCAGTTACAATGATTTATTAAAAACCCTAAGACACCCTCATATGAAAACAAAAATTACAGGGATATCAGGGAAATTGAACATTATGCAATATGGGCATGGATTTATGTCAGTCCAGCTACTCTGGAAATTGGTAAAGAGGCTCCTCAAAAAATTAAATATGGAGCTAACATATAATTCAATTATACCACACCTGGGTATTTACTCAAAGGGGTTAAGTCAACATATCGTACAGATACCTGCGTATCCATGTTTAAAACAGCACTACGCATAATTCTAAAGCTGTGAAGTCAGCCTAGGTGTCCATCACTAACAGATGAAGAAAACGGGGAATCTCTACACAATGGAGTATAATAATTAGTCATTAATAACATAATATATCATCATCTTAGCAGAAATGAGCCAGACTAAATATATATTATACAAATAATATATGTGAAATACATATGAAAGTGGAATGGGATGAGTTTGATTTGGGAAGAGGAAAGAGACCAGGGAGAGATTCAAAAGGCAGAGAGGATAAATGGAATAGGGGGATGAATATGGTCAAGGTCTGATATATGCATATGTGAAAATTGCCACAATGAAACCCTTTATTTTTTTTACAATTAATAGATGCTAATAAAATAAATTTCAAAATAAGTAGATAACAGTGCATAAAACATTCAACAAAGCACACAGCCTCCCCTCTTCCTGTCTGGATGTTAATAATTGAATTATTAGCTACCTAGGTTTGTATTGAGGTGCTTAAGAATTCATATTGCAGGTACCAATACAAAGGTGTCATTATTACTGGTACTACATGAATACTGTAGTTTCACTCATAGTGAAATTGTCCTCCAAGGAACTGTATTTCTGGGAATTCTCTTGGTAACTTTAAAAAACCAAGGAACATAAATAGTGAAATTTCAACAGCTCAGTTGGGTACATAAGCCAGAGGCATGCAGAAAACATTTTCTTGCAATATGTAAATCAGTGAATTCTCTGAATTCGAGGCTAACTTTAACATAAGGCACAGAAAATCAAGTACAGTCAAACATCGCTGTTAGTTAGTGGCACACATCTTTCTTAGTGCTTGTCTACCTGAGACTTTGGGCTACCGTTTAGAAAAGATTTTACTTCAGCCCCCTTTGAGACAATGAATAATTCATTCTCCACGAGAGCTTTCACATGGTTGGGAGGGAATACGGCACAGATGGCACAGAAGCATCCCTGGTCCACTTCTGGGCACCAGCCACTCAGAAAACCTACAGCTCCCTGGGTCCAGGCACAGTAGCTAAGAAGGGATGGGGACCATCTGTGATCATTCCCCATGTGGAACACTGCCCAGAGAGTCTTAAGTCTTTAGCAAAACCTCAACCCTTCCCAAGCACACTACAGTATGAAAATGCCTTCTTGTGCTTCCAAAAAAAGTTATAAAACTCGAGGATCTCTGAGATGGCAACCCGACCCTTGATGCTCATTACTGTATTGAGAGACCACGAAGTTCAAGAGAAGACAGCTTCAGCCCCACTAAATGCTGGAAAGAGAAACCCTGCTACGCTGTTGTGAAAATGCAATCTATCTTTCTTTCCTTCTTTCCTTTTTTCTTTCTTTCTTCCTTCCTTCCTTCCTTCCTTCCTTCCTTTCCCTCCCTCCCTCTCTCTTTCTTTATTTCTTTCATTCTTTCTTTTTCTTTCCTTCTTTCCTCCCTCCCTTCCTCCCTCCTTCCCTCCTTCCTTCCCTTCCTCCCTTCTTCCCTCCTTCCTTCCCTTCCTCCCTTCTTCCCTCCTTCCTTCCCTTCCTCCCTTCTTCCCTCCTTCCTTCCTTTCCTTCCTCCTTTCCTCCTTTCCTTCTTCCTCTCCTCTCTCCCTCCCTCCTTTCTTTCTTTCTTTCTTTTTCTTCTTTTTGTACCTGGTGTGGAGAAGAAAATCTCTTCTCATAGGTCAGCCTACTTCCTTCTAGTGAAAACCGGAAGCCTTTCTTGCGTATGCTGTCCTCAGAGGCCGATTTCCGCACTGCGTCTTCCTTTTCTTCCTCTCCAGCCTGCTCTTTCTGTTTCTTTTTCTTTCTTCTGTTTTTCAGTTCCTTTTCACTCTTGGAACTCAGCTTTGATGCTACTGAAGAACTCTCCGAGAACACGCCTATCCCACCTGCTCCGCTGAAGTCTCTGGATTCTGCAGATGCGGCTGCAGCTGCTGCCTAGAAGGGCACAAAGTGAGCATAGCTTGTGTACCGCCTTCAACGTTACCGTTTACTGCTTCACTTATCTAGAATACCATGAATGTGACCTTGAAATCCAGTTCTGTAATTCTGTTCCACACTTTGGAAAACAACATTTTCATAAACCAAAGAATAAAAAATCAACATGGAAGTAGACACACATGAACGATAAAATCTTTTAATTCTGACCTCATGTGGCATTCTAATTATCTACCAACAGGAACATAACAAACAGTAACATTTCCCATGTGACCTAAGCAAGGTTTAAAGAGAAATTTAAGAATTAAATTTTCCTATTTACATCTCAAACAAAGGTATTTGCTCTTCATCACATTCAACAATGACTACCAAACTGAGCTATGGAATTAAATTCATTCAAATGTTTATTGATTAAACCTTTAATCTTTTACTTTAGTTATTTAATTCGGAAATGTGCAAGCATGTCACAGATTATATAATAGGGAACCCCAGGATGTCAGAATGGATTGGTAAATGATAATCATATGGGTTTTAAAAAGTGTTCAGTGTAGTTACTACTATCTCAGCAACTTTATTTTTTAATAAATACATTCAAATTTGAATAAATAAATAAATACATTGAATGATAGTGACGTAAGAGACCTACATCCAACAGAAAATAAAAGATAAAATCAGACAAGTAGGTTAGTGAATACCATTAAGTCAAGCAAATGTGTTTAGAAAAACACTCACATGATTCTGAAGACTCATGGAGTCTACATAAAGAGTTTTCAGCAAGAGAAGCTGAGAAAGTCAGTGCTATCATGATTTCGTATTAGATGAGGCTTTGTGTTTCCGGAATTTGTGAAATCTTTGCAGTGTGACTTGCATTTTCTGACATTGCTCACCTCTAGCGAGGCTGTACTGAAGAAGCCACTCTACCTGAATTCCTGTTTGCTGGAGTATTAAGGAAACACTTCCATCAACAGCATATTGCTCTGCCACTTTATCAGACTCATTGAATGAGAGTACTAACAGTCAGTATCCTCAGGATGTCACAAGGAGGAACATATCAAGGAAGCAACTGTAATTGTCTGTATTTTGATGCCCTTAGTGTATATCATAATCACCAAATCAAGTAACATTCTGCTTACAACCAAATAGGTCCCTGCCACCACACACAGCTTTGTCTCTCCAATGTCAACAGCAACCTGCAGGTCAGAGAATGGAGATAAACTCAACAGTCTCTATGCTTGCCAACTCTACCTGAGCCTCCTCCTGTTGCTTCTTCAACTGCTCCAACATCTGCTGAAACTCCGCCTCTTTCTGTTCAGCCTCCTCCAAGGTGGCCTGATTCTGTTCCTCATAGGCCATGGCCACTACGGCCAGGATCAAGTTTATTAGGTAGAATGAGCCCAAGAAAATCACGAGCACAAAAAATATCATGTATGTTTTCCCAGCAGCACGTAGGGTCTGTCAAAATGGAAGGAACATGTACATAAATTTCACATCAGATGTTAGCTCCCTCTCTAAGTAATAAAAGATTCCTTAGTGGTTCCCTTGGCCACTGCATCCCTTGCTTCCTAAAAGAGTCATTGCATCAGTTCTCACCAGCTGATAAAGGTTTTCCCAGAAGTCTTGAGTCATGAGACGAAATAACGACAAGAAGGCCCAGCTAAATGTGTCGAAGCTCGTGTAGCCGTAGTTGGGGTTTCTCCCAGCCTTCACACAGATGTACCCTTCAGGACACTGGCTGCAATTACATTAGAGGGAAAGAGGAACTCAGCATCCATGAGTCTTTTTCCATTTTACTGGATGTGAATGATTTTGTACAGCTTATGTTTTGTAACATCAGTTCAAATGGGGAAAGGTAACTATTTCTCTTAACTTTCTCAAGCTTTTCCCCCCATCTATAATGCTTCTTAATTACAAACATTTCCACAATGTTAAGCATAACAAAAAATTCTATATTGTAGCCATAATTCACTAATACATTTAATCCATGGAATTATTACAATCCCCATTTGTACATGGGAAAAAAACTCAAGGCAAGCAGAAGTGAGAAAATATGGTAGAGTCAGAATTTGAATCTATGCTGACATCCCAGTCTACTTTATGCGCTTTGTTTTGCTGAAATATGGTAGGCATATGTAGTCGCCGTGTGTCTCAGATAGTGACATGATCTTCAGGGATTTCATGTCTTAAGCCACTGAGATCAGATTAGCTTAAATAAATGATCACACACTAGTATGCGATTATGAATTTTAATGCATTTTCTCTGAGTATCTATTTTCCATTGTGCTAGTTTGGAAGATTAGATGAGACCTAGTATGGAAAAATAATTGCTACTTCCGAGTGTGTGAAGGAGGTGAGAATCCACACTTACCCTGGCTATTCTGTGAGTCAGTGTGAAGTAGAATTTATGTAGAGCTTTGAATGAGGAGTGAGTAGGGGTCAGGTGTGTGGGAGGTGGCAGATTATTGAGGTCGACTGAGCATCAATAAGAAGTATAACTTACCCTGCATCAGAGCTGTTCCCGCAAAGCAGAGCATCATTTTGCCCTTCCAAAAAATAAAAGTGACCTATTTAAAGAGCAAAGGATAGACTCATTAAAAGGCCTTTAAATATTTAATCATTGTGTTCAGGCGAGGAAGCTTATAAATATGTTTAGTTATAATAAAAGAAATAGATAAAAATAATTGAAAGTCATGGTTAAATGAATTTTTTCATAGGAATTGAGTATCAAGCAACTATATGACTAAATACTGTTTGAAAAAATTACTTTAGAAAGAAATCTTTGCATAAGCAATAATAATAATAATAATAATAATAATAATAATAATAATAATAGCATTTTTGGTTCAGAATTTATTACAGAAACAAACCCAAACTGTTTGGGGAACACTTAAAGAGAAAGCTGTAGCATTGAAGCAGCTGGCTTGGGACAGAAGGAGAGTAAAGGAATGCATGTTTCTTCTCAGTGGGCATGCAAATGAGATTTTACTCCAAATACTTTTTGCCTGGACTCGAAATAGATGCAGACATTTTTCCTGCCAATTGTCATTTAGTTTCTTCTGAGGAGTGGGCTCAGGTGCCTCTTCACTCCTTATGATGGCTGGTTGGGCTTTTTGTTTTTATTTTTGTTTTGTTTGTTTGTTTTTGCTTGATCTCTCCCTTTGAAATGAGCAAAATAAACTTTTAGCTCCGACAGTGTAACCTGTCTAAATATATGCAACTTATTTTGTTTAAGGTACAACATATACAAATTTAAGAAGTTTCAAAAATATTCCCAGGAACCACACACACACACATTAAAATTTATTGTGTTGATACTTAAGAGTATTTAAAACCCTTTATTCAAGGAATACATGAATAGATTATGTAGGAAAATCTAGGTCATAATTTTACAAAATATTTTTAGATCTTTCCATCAAACTACAAAAAGTCTAAATTGTTATGAACTTAAAGGCAAGTCTACCAATACACTACCAAAAACATATATCACTGTTGTACAGGTAAAATATGTAAACATTCTGTTTAATCCCTTATTAAGAAGCATTCTATGAACACAGAAATAGGATAAAAATGTACAAATTAAATTGATGATTGGGTTGCCTAAAAATTTGAGGCCCCCAAACAAGCCATAAGATAAAAAATAAGCTGGAAAGTAGACTTCTCCTGATGAAAGACAATTGGTAATAAAGAATCCATTATGGCTTCCTTCAAAACGCTACCACCTGGTAAAATAATGAGTACAAACATCAACAGGTATTTCACATGGTGGGAAATACATAACGTGCCACTGATGCTAGAAAACATACTTAAAAATTCTCTGCACTTTTAATTAACAAATGAAAAAAAAGAACAGTAAAGTGCTGATTTTTATTTTTCTCTACCAAAAGATTTTCAGATGTGATGAGAATCTATATTGGTCTCAGTTCAGGGAGTTGAGCCTGGCTGTGGAGGATCTATGAAGTGGTGTGGCCTCTTAGGAGAGCAATTGGACACTATGTCTCTGCATTCTCAGCTACAATCAACCCCTCCCACTGAAGCGCTATAAATAGAAATCCATCTGTAGCAGTACAGAAGCAGAGAAAAGATTTATGGGCAAAGCTCTTCATCATCTATTACATTATTAGTAGTAGAAAACCTCATATTGGGCTGTTAAAATTTCTCATTTTTTTTCCAATGAATCTTTTTAAGTAAAACCTTCATAAGAATGTAAACTTGATAAATGTAGTATCAAGTGAGCTGTGGTAAAATCTCATATTCTTCTAAAAAAGCGTGCTGACCATGAAGGGTATCAGAGAGTAAACAACCCCAGGGAATGCAGGTGATCAAGAGGCTTTCGGCGAATCTAGCAGTACATGGAGGAGCTTAGGTCATCAAATGACAGACTCACTAGCTTCAGTAAGAGAAAATGATAAGTTGTAATGTAACATTAATCTGATGTAATATCTGTGCCTCAAATAAAATCAAATGATAATGATAACTCTAATACCAAGAGTCATGCAAAGGAACAAAAATTAAATCATCAGTAACCAAGTGACTAAGTCACGGTTGTTTACCTTTCTGATCAGTACACAAGTTTGGATTTCACCTTGGAAAATGTTTTCTCAATCCTGATAGATCATATGGACTGAGCCAACCAAAAAGATTCAAATCATTTCATCATTATGTATTCCAGGCTAGCCTTGGATTAATTATGTGCCTGAGGATAACCTTGAACTTCTGACCTTTCATTTACCATTTTAACGCTGGTATTACAGGTGTATGCTACCATGTTCAGCTTCTGCTGTGCTAGGGATTGAGCTGCATGGTAGGCAAGCACTTTATTTACTATTTTTCCTGCCCCTCTCCAGGTCTTCCTAATGACACACTGCAGCATAATGCACTGAATGAGTCTAGCCAACGTCATATTAAGATGTTTGAATACTCCTGCCCAATGCCCACATGGTAAAAATTTTTGATTATATACAGCACGATGTGGTAGCACTTTCAGCTCTCATTTAGGAATAGATGATATACTTTGAAATGACTACTTTCGTCATGTCACTTGTTGGATTAGGAAAAAGAAATGATAAAATTTGGTATTCTTAGTACATGTATGAAGTTATTATAAATTAGTCTAAGACATTTGGTTTATACTAAACTTTAGATGCTTTCTGTCACATACAGCGCAGTTTTTAATATTTTAAGAACCAAACAGCTTAATGGCTACAAGAGTATATCTTACTTTTATCTTCAATGTATTCATCCCAGTTAAACATGTTCACTGTTCTATTGAAGGCAGTACCATTCCAGTCCAATGAGTTATTAAAGAAGGAAGTGATATTTATTTCAAAGGTAGAATTGTCTGGGGGCCACTGCAAGCATTTATTCCTCAGGTTGCCCATGAAGAGCTGCAGGCCGATTAGGGCAAAGACACTGAGACAGAACACAGTGAGGATCATGACGTCAGACAGCTTCTTCACCGACTGGATCAGGGCCCCCACGATGGTCTTCAGTCCTGCAAATAAAACCAGAGGGAGGGACTATCACTTCCAATTCAACAGATAATTTCCCAACAAAAATATCATGAGCTTGTTCTGAAAAATACAAATGTCATGCAGAATGCCAACGATATTAGTTTAATGTTTGTGGCTGAATAAAAATGTCACGAAAAGCCTGCTAGCTGGTGGAAATGAATGAAAGCGGAACTTACACATTCTTTAGAAAACCAAATGGAAGTGAACCAAATGTGTTTTCACTCACTCCTTACAGCAAAAGATATGATTGTGTTACTCATGCTTGACGATCAACCCTATGTAAATAGTTCGCTTTTATTTGCAGATGTCTTACTCTCTAACCCTGTATTGGTTTTGGAGAAAAATCTGTATGAGTAGAGGAGTAGGGAAGAATCTTGAAGCCACTGAATTACAAAGGTATAGATTTGTCTGAACTTCGAAAAATTGAGAATGGGCCAATATAAGGAAGACATCTGCAAGCCGAGCCCCATGCAGCGCTCATGCTCTGTCTTGCTTTTCCATTGAACTCCAGTTAAAGAAATAGCCCGTTTTTGAGCTAATTGATCGAATTTGCCTTGGCCCACGTGTCTCACATTTCAGCTTCTATGCGGAAAGCTTGATGCTGTAAGATGCAAACCAGGTAGCCTGTTACTGTAAGTGCCTCATGCAAAACTTGTTAAACTCAAAGGCTGATTTAGAACAAATTGAGAGAAAGCAACATTCAAAAGCAAGTAATCAAACCTATCCAAACTAGGATGGGTCAGTTCCTGCTTTTGATCATCATCTCGCAGTATGCAACAAGCAACCAGGCTTTTGCCAAAAAGCTGTGAGCAGAGCACCAGTACAGCTAAAGTCAGCCTCGGTGTTTAACCTAGCTCTCACCTGGAATGACTGAAATGGTTTTCAATGCTCGGAGAACTCTGAATGTTCTCAACGCTGAGACATTGCCCAGGTCCACAAACTCTGTCACATATCTGTAATAGGGAGTTCACACACAAACACAATGACAGAACACAAAAAACAGTTGGAGATATAAGGAGCCTACCACCTTATACCATTTTCTTCTTACCTGGGATAACAGAAATAGTTTTCAGAGCTCGCAAGACTCTGAAAGTTCGAAGGGCTGAAACATTGCCTAGGTTTACAAATTCTGTTACATACCTGTAGGATTAAATCAGAGTTATTCAGAATTTTGGGAAATCTAAGTCTATGTTGGTCTTGAGTCAAGACCATTTCAACTTCAGCAAGTGTTGTCATCAGATTTCCCAATTAAGAGGAGAATGACATTGCCATCGACTATGAGCTGTTACTTGGGAATTGTTATTATTACTTTACAGCTAATTGAAACTAAAGTCATATAATTCATTAGGATCATTCCTAATTTCTCCAAACTGAATAATTTGATTGGAAAAATCATTCTGAAGTCACATGGTAACTAATAAGAATGCTGTATGAGCCGTAGGAAGCCAACAACTGAGAACTATAATATAGTCTCCAATTGCATTTACTCTACCAGGATGGAAAACATTATAAAAATACTTACGCGAAGGTAATGACTGTGAAATCCAACCAATTCCAGGGGTCCCGTAGAAATGTGAAATCTTCTAGACAAAAGCCCCTTGCGAGTATTTTAATAAGTGATTCAAAAGTATAAATTCCTGTAAAAGTATACCTGAGAAAAATAGCCGAGTTCACATTAAAGATTTTGTAGGTGGTTTCCATACGTTTATTTAATTTTTAAAGAATATTTTGGTGCCAGACCTGAAACCAGGACCTCACACATAGTAAAGAAGGTACTCTGCTGTTGAGATATACACCCAAGCCCTGATTGTACATATCCTAAAGATCACTTAGATGACACACATGAAGAGAGGCTCCATGTTGGTTTCTGATAGAGTGCTTAGGCAAGACTTAAGGCAAAATGAACCCATTAAATTCCAAATGATATTCTTATTGACTGTAAATAAATGGAATTTTGCTTTTCATATTACTCAACCTAAAGGATGTAAAAAAAAAAAAATAACCCACCAGTCTGTATGATGATAGTATCTGAACTACACCAGCCAACTTTTAGTATGATTTCAGCAGATCAATGCTAATCACTAGATGAGCAATGTAATAGATATCAGAGATCTCCAGTGTGTAAAATTCAAAAGGAAGATGAAAGCCCACAAATATCAACAGGCAAAAATCAGTGCAGCTATTTGAACCACTGAACACTTTGTCCTAGAGCAGCAGTTCTCAAATTGTAGGTCGCTACCTCTTGGCGACGGTGTGTGTGTGTGTGTGTGTGTGTGTGTGTGTGTGTGTGTGTACTAACCCTTTTACAGGGTTCGCATATCAGATATTTAAATTATGTTTCATAACAGAAGCAAAATTGCAGTTCTGAAGTAGCAATAAAAATAATTTTATGGTTGGGGAATCACCATAACATACAGAGAGCTGTATTAAAGGGTCACAGCATTAGGAAGTGTGAGACCCACTGTCCCAGAGGAAGTCAGTGGTGGGCATACATTTAAATCATCTGGTTTAACATGACTAGAAAAAAGTAGTAAGGAAACTGAAAGTGTCTTGAAATACTAAGTGAATAATTTGAAACGTGGATTTTATACTTACTCCACATTCTTCGTCCAGTCTGGAGGATTACTCATGGTCATAAATACACAGTTGGTAAGAATTGTGCACATAATGAGCACATTGAATAAAGTAGAATATATTGTCAAGGAAAATGAAGTCAGTAGGAGAATACCACTTTCATGCATGCCCTGTCTTCATCCACACTAAATCTAAAACATGCTTATCTTACGCTACCTATTATTTTATCAACAAATTCCTCTCATTTTTGTACTTCAACTCCACATGTAAAATGTACTTTCAAAGAACCATCAACTATCTTTAGGGTAGTAAGAAACAATAATTAAGAGTAGAAAATGCAAAGAAGTGAGTTGACTGGTGAATAGCTTATCAATGTAAATTTTCTTCATGATAGAATCCACCAAACAACAGAACTGCAAGTTCACTTTATAAATAAACTGGGGTGGTAAACGTTTGATAAAACGATTCAAAGAACTAGTGAAATGCATTATGACTTTATTCTAAGGGTCACCCTGGGAGAATGTTGTACACAAAGTTCCTTTCTAAATAGAAGGTACAACCTACAACAGTTGTTCAAAAGACCCAGAAACGTAAGAAAAGATGGCTGCTGATAATGCTGACATCTCTTAGGTTTGTAACTAAGTCAAATCAGTTACTAAGTTCTTTCAGTATTGATCAACTTGGTTTTAACAGGAAGAAAAAAATACCACAGAATTTCTGTGAAAACCAGACTAGCAAAACATGTTAAATATCCTGTAACTCATTATACCTTACAGAGAGCACATACTCAGCCAACAGTTCTTTTTATTTCTCAAAAGACAGAGAAAACGTTGATTATAATAATGTTCTGGTTTATTTCCCTCATTGCCCATGTATGGCCAGTACTCATCTTGTATTCCTTTTGAGTAATGAAAACAAGCAGAAAAAAAGCTTTTTACAAAAAGGATCAACAGTCAAATAATGGAAGTGATTGATGTTCACATTTAACATAAATTACACTTCAGTTGTATATAAACATCACTTCTTGTGAACTTACACATGATCATAATAATCTCAGATATAGGATAATGGTATTCACATTCCTTCTTGCTTCTTTTTTGATATAAACCATTTCATCCCTTTTATGAAACAAAAAGGCCCTGTTCAAGGCCAGGGAGTGCGTAGTGTTATATTAATTTAAAAAGACAGCTTTCACCTATATCAGGCATTAGTCAGGGCAATAACTGACATTTTTGGTTTTAGTGATAATGTTCTTAGGCTTATGCTTAATTCTCAGCTTCTTCAAATGCTCTACCTAAGAGTAGTTCTAAAGGAGTGATGGGGATCAGCCACGTGAGGGCAGTACAATCTAACATAATTTTAAAGAGAAAACAATGAAATATATGTACATATATATATGCATATGATACATACATATGATAGTTTACCATTAGTATAAAGAAGTAGAAGCCCCTATGGGCCCTGCAAGGATGCATAATTTCTTGGCAGATGGGCAACAGTTGAAATGCATGGTCCTTAACCACAGTGGTCCTAAACACAGTCCTGTGTGTTCCAGCTTGGATGCATTCCCTACCCCCCACAAAGATAATTCCAAACATTCTCTGTGTCCTTCAATTTCCAATCCTCTTCTTCCCTCCTTTTCCATTGCGAATTGATGATCTCATTTCTTACTTCACAGAGAGATAATGAGAACATCAGATTCTGCTCCCCACCCCAAATTGGCAAAGCTCTCTCTTTTGGGACTTGCTCTCTTTCCCCTGTTACAGTGGGGGAAATCCCCATCTCTTCAAACGTATTCTGGACAGTTAACTTTTCCAAATGCTTTAGGAATATCTTACCTCTGCATTCTCTCAACTTGTGTGTCCCTTAGCCTCTTCCCAGCAACACAAACTTGCTTATGTCTCTCCTATCTTGAGGGAGAGGGTCTCTCTAACCCACAACCCTCATCACAACTCCGGCTTCACATCTTTTCTCCACTTCACAGCCAAAGTTCTTGAAAGAGATGTTTATCTTTCTTGTTCTTACAAACCTATCCCATCTTCAGCCCTCCAGCTATTCTGCCAACTAAAGATGAAAAATCTTTATGCCGTTTCACTGAAAAGGATAATCTACAGCTATAATATAGTGATTGTTTGACTTGCAGTTCAGCTGAGCCCCAAAAAGATGGACCCTCCCCTTTACATGAAGTCTTTTCCTCTTTGCTAGCAGGAGGCCTCAATTACCTGATTAATTGTTCATGCTTTGGGAGCAACAGTATTTCTGTGCCATTTGGAATCTTTCATTTTTCCTTTTTGAAAAGAAACAAAATCTAAGCCACCATCCTGTCTGCTGCTATCAGCATCCTACCAGATACAACAGCAAGCTGCAGGTGTCACCTGTGTCTTTACAGCTACCAAATCTTCTCGCCAGGTGACACATCTCTCTAGGTCCACTCACTCAGTTGTGCAGATGACATCTATACTTAGGCATCTCATTGGCTCTTCCAAACCTTTTGAAAGACGTTGAGTTTTCAAACTGAACTAACAGCCTTCCTCTCCCTCTGCTACAGTGGAATATAACTCCTTTACAATCTCTGTATTCTTATGATTTAGCCTTGAGGATTTCTCTCTCTTCCTAAACTTCTATATCTAACTCCAATAGAACACTTCTGATCTTATTATCTATATCTGGATTCAGTCCATGACTCTCCATTTCCCTATTACTGAGTTGTCCAAATATTCATCAGGACCAACAGTACATGTAACAAGACTTGTACATTATTGTGCATTCCTCTGAAATAATCTACCTGAATTAGTCCATTCTACACACTGCACCAATGGATTTTGTGAATGTATCTGGGATCATTTTGGCAGCTTCCCACTACCCTATATATGATATAATGATTATATATGATATAATCACTATATGATGATATAATGTATTAACATAAGGTCAGGATTCTAAGATGTCTTCAGCTCTTTTTGCTCTTTCTGTACTATCTTCATCCCAATAGCTTTTAATTTTTTAAAGTCATGGGATGTTATGAGCATTTTATATGCACACTGTTTAATATTCACAACAGTGCTTGATCTGATCAGGTCTACCTGTGTTACCTTATAATAGTCACCTAATGTCAAAGTCTATATACACAATGGATATAAGTTTCCTTACTGTTAAAGGTTTGAACATGTAGAATAAACACAAAGTGAAAATTAAAACCTCATGAAATTAATGTCACATAATGGACTGAGATATGGTCTTATAATACGTATAAAATGCTATTTCCAACAGGAAAATTTAATTAGATATAAGAAAGTAAAATATGTTTTAAGATAAACAATAGAGATAATGACTAATTTCTCATAAATTACAGATAATAAAGCATGCTCAAAACAGTGTTGTTCATATTGTATGGTTACCATTTTAATAACAAAATATGTACTTTAATTAAGACTCATGATAGACACTGAACAAATACAATTATTTTCCTTTTAAAATAAGAGATAGAGTCAGGTTCAGGTATTTCTGGCAGGCTATGTATTTGCAAATATAAAATTTCAAATTATACTACTTTATTAATTATTGTCAGTTATTATTTCACCAATCATATAGTTTTCAAATTTTTGGATTTTAATGAGTGACTAAAATAGTAGAATTCAACAAAATTTAAACCACATTAAAAACATCATAAAGATATGAACATTATATTGGTTAGGCCATGTATTGAAAAACTATGAAACTGCACATCAAGGCACATATTTAAGATCTAAAATTAGAAGTGAAATACACACATCCTATATGATTTTCTCAATAGATAAACTAGACTATATTTTTCAAAAGTCCAACTTATCTTGAAACAATACTTCCATATAACAGCTTGGCTATATAAAATAAAATACAAGCAGACTAATCTGTATCATATTAGGAAAAAGCAATCTTTTTGATTATTGGTTTCTTTGTACCAAGTGTTAATAAAAGTAGTTGGACCTATTGATAGATACCAACTCATCAGTTGGCAAATTTTAAATACTCTCTCTATATACATGGTAAGGAAAAACTTTTTTAAAGCTTATATTGAAAATGATTGTATAGCTTTTGACAAGGAGCATTGACAGCCCCATCTCTGTGCCCAGGAGGACAGCCCCAGCTTCAAGCCCAGCACTCAAGGGTCAGATTCATCCTTTACTAGCCATGTAGGCATCACAAGTGGTGTGATTCAGTGTGAACCAGTAGCAAAAATGTAGCAGCAAGTTCAGTTTTATTATATTAATGTGGATGATTGTATCAACACTTTTCTCATAAGATAGATACAGTCGCTGTCTGCTAAGATAATTATCAGCTATTTTAATACCACTAATAATTTGGGTTATTAGATATGGAGTATTTTTGTTATTGTTGTTGCTCTCAAGGAAGAGGAGACTGTTCTGGTCTAAAGCACTGTAGTCTTGTGTATGTCCAGAGAAGTTCGAGGAATTTAAAAAACTTACATATAATCTATAGGTAGAAAAATGTTTCATGTTATTAGTTTCTAACTTGAATGTGGAGATTAAACAGTGAGGTAGGTCTCTTTTGATATATGAGCATATTTCTGAGCCAGGAAAAATTCTGATTTATGTCATATATATATATATATATATATATATATATGTGTGTGTGTGTGTGTGTGTGTGTGTGTGTATGTGTGTGTGTATACAATGTCATATACTACTAACTCTTTTTTTCTTTTTTTTCTTTTTTTAATTTAATTTAATTTTATTTTACAATACAATTCAGTTCTATATATCAGCCACAGATTCCCTTGTTCTCCCCCCTCCTGCCCTCCTCCCCTTCCCCCCCAGCCTACCCCCCATTCCCACCTCCTTCAGGGCAAAGCCTCCCCTGAGGACTGAGATCAACCTGGTAGACTCAGTCCAGGCAGGTCCAGTCCCCTCCTCGCAGGCCGAGCCAAGCAACCCTGTATAAGCCCCAGGTTTCAAACAGCCAACTCATGCAATGAGCACAGGACCTGGTCCCACTGCCTGGATGCCTCCCAAACAGATCAAGCCAATCGACTGTCTCACCCATTCAGAGGGCCTGATCCAGTTGGGGGCCCCCTCAGCCATTGGTTCATAGTTCATGTGTTTCCATTCGTTT